CAGCAGGAGCCATTTCACTGAGCGACATTACACCCAGTGCTTTTTCCTCAAGAGGAGTGTCCTTGTGACCCACATCCATACAACACACACTCACCTTCTCAGCCTCCTGAGTGCACTTCTCTACACGCTCCTGCAACTTGCGCAGCTGTTCCTGTGAGACAGATGAGTCTGCCTTGGCATGGTTCTCCCTTGTATGGGCTGTTTTCTCTTCCTTCCGGGCTGCATGATAGTTTTTCTTAGAAGTCTCCACCTGTAGGAGGACGATGCAGAGAAAGCCATGATCTGACCACATAGATCCTCCATTACTCAGAGGGGGCATGTTAACATTTGTTACAGTCAGCAGCTATGGTTTCAGGACAACCTAATAGGAATGCTAATTTGGCATTTAGTAAACCATGCTCCAAAGGGAAGAGGTGCCTCCAAATGATCTTTTCAGTGCTCACCTGCCGTGCAGGAACATAGAGCCTGTTACCAAAGTCTTCCCACATGGGAATGAAGCTACAAAACCACCAAGAAGAGACCATCAAGACACCCCTCCCTCTCTGGCGTTCTCTGCTACTCTGCCTAAACCCAGTTTGCGTGCCCAGTGGCTCCCACAATCAGGCAGCCAACTCAACTGCCCTTATCCCTCCTTCCCCCTTCACACTTTGCTCACGTCTTTCATCTTCTTCACCCAGGGTTTCTGGGCCTTGCGGAACCCATCCTCTGCCTCCTTTGTCTCCTTGAAGCCTCCAATCATCTGCTTGTGGTAGGCCTCCTTCTGCCAGGCCTTGATCTTATCCGAGTCTTCACCAGCCAGGTGGTTCCGGACAGCTAAGTGAATTTCACTCAGTTTGTCTGCAGCTGTCAGGAAGGCATGCCAGGCCTTCTCCAGAGTGCCATACTGTGGACCTGCAGGAACAAGCACCAGAGAGGGCTCTTACATCTCCTGCCCACAGAAGGGAACACAGGTTCTTTTCCTCTTATACACACATCTATCAGTATGGAGTCACTTCCTTAACTCTCCTCCATCACACAAGTCCACATTGACCGGTCTCCATGCAGTGCCAACAGGCAGCATCTAGACTGGCTGTTACAGCTGGCCGAGACAAGCATTTCTTTTGGGCAGCCTTAGCTGTCCCAGATGGTGCCTGCTAGGAGGAGGATTCTGTAGAAAATTCTCTTCACAGATCTGGCCTGAGCTTCAGGACAGATAGCAACACTACCTCACCACTGAGGCTAAGTTTCTGCTTCACAGACCAGGAGGTCCTTTGGGGCATCCGTCCCACTGTTTCCCATTACTTTGTGAGACGCTATCACTTTGAGTCCATTGCCACTAAATCACAGAATTAGTAGTTATTCTCTGACTGGAGGAGGAGGAGAGACAGCCAAGCCATCCTTAAAAGAGGAGATCTGCAGCGTGATTTAAGACTTGGACTGCCCAAGGACTTGCCAAACTAAACAGTTTTTTTTGTAACCAAACACCTGACAATGTAAAGAACACTCCTCCAAGTGAATCAGAGTACTGGCTACAAAACACACACACACACACAAAAAGACATCCAAGAAAGTCACCCCCTTGCTGCAGAAGGGAAGCCTGTCCCCCAATGAAACACTGTCACCTCAGTAAAAGCACTCAAGGAAGAGAGTGCAATGATTGCATCCTGTTCCCAGTCCACCCTGCCAACTTTACCTTTCTCTACACTGGTCCTCCACTTACGGGACCACTCTGTTAGCTGCTGGGCATAGTTCTTCTCTATCTTGGCTCGCTCCTGGAAGCAGGAGATTAAGTCATTGCAGAGCCGGTACCCATCATCCACACGCTTCACTGTCCGCCTGTAGTTTCCAGCCTGAAATTTCACACAACATCATCATTTATACTGTACTGACTTTCATGTTCCTTCAGAACAGACAGCAGCAGGTCAATCATTGCATGGGGAAGGAGCACAGGCCCTGCTGAAGCCAGCAACTGGGCTCAGACCCTCCTCTGGCACCCTCTCAGGCAGGCACAGCAGTGGGGGGAAGAAGGTGAGATGCTTTGCTTGCCTCTCTCACAGCTCAGATCAGCGTCAGCTGAACAAGAGAGGAAAGGGTCACTTCCTCCCTGCAGTAACACACAGCGTGTTACTGAACCTCCCCACAGTTCCTCCCTTCCACTCCCCAAGAGCAACAAGTCACCCAGGAACCCGAAACTCAACCCTGTAATTCCACAGGTGGGAGGCAAGAAGACACTCCTACCTCCCTCACAGTCTGATTATCCTTCCTTACCTCCCAGAAACTGCCACCAGGAGCCTCCCCGCCAGCATCATCTTCTGATGACATCACCCCTGTTTTCTTGCAGCAGAGAATTTTTGCAGAGTTTAGTTAAGCTGAGAAGAGAGAAAAAGTGATTTCTAACATAGCACTGGCTGAGCCTTTGCAGAGAGCGCAGTTCTCCGTAACTCTTGGAGCTGGAGGACCCCAACTTACTACCCTGCAGGCAAGCACTGGTATCACTGCACCTCCAGCAGCAGATGGCTAGATCCAGCAGAGATGCTCAGGACTGCACCTGCCTCCTCCATCCCTGCAGACAGAAGACCTCCCTGGCAGGCCTGCAGCACATTTCGAAAGGATGTTATTAGAAGACCATCTTGCCAAACCTCAGCTGTACAGATACTGGAGATGTTAGTGAATCCAACACTCTTCAGCAGCACCAGACACCTCTGCAGAGATGCCTTGCTTAACCAAAGCCCTCAAGAGGGTAGCAAAAGCTACAGAAACTGAGGTAGCTAAAGCTACTTGAAATCTCCTTGAAAGACTTTAAATAAGTCTTCTGTCAATGGAGAGGACTCCAGCTTCCCAGTATGACTCAGGATTATGGAATTACAACAACTGACTGGAGAATACAAGGCTAAGCAGTCAGCAGGCAGCCATGTCTTGAATAGGGAGGAACCCTGTAAGATGCCCACCAGCTAAGTTGGGCTTGAGCAGAACTACAGACACACGCTGGGGCATACCAGCCAAGCGGCACTGCAGCACACATGCCGTTACCCAGCAGCACTGCTTCCCCAGAAACGTCCCTGTAGAGCTGGTGTTTTCATTACTCACAACTCTCACTGCATTAGGGTCAAAATCTAGGCTGGAAGATAAAAGGTTCATCTCATCCTCTGTCTCAGAACTTTTGCCCATTCCCCTGCGCTAGTCTGTGCTGCCAGTTTGTTTCTGACGTGGTGTGACACTATGAATTCCTTGGAGAGGTTCAGGATTGCTCTTGTGCAGGAATGAGAGAGGGAGTAACGGAAAAAGGTCCAAGCCCAGTCACTCACACACAAACCCACTCCATTCTAGGCAAACCTGGGTTAATGCAGCATAGATGTCCTTTGCTGCCACTTCTCCTCTTGCACATTCCTAGTTATAAAAAGCTTCCCTCACACCCCAGAGAGGTATCTGCTCATTCTGCCAGCCCACAAAGCACACAACAAAGATGAAGATCAGGTCAAGAGTCCACATGTCCCACCTCCTGCAAATCCTTCACGCTGTGAAGCACCCCAACACAGACTACAGGAATTTCCTACATTTCTTCTGGAAACAGTTTGGCTCCGTTTGCCCAGTCTCATCCCACGGAGAGAGTCAGGAGTACATTAATGCTGTTCCTCTGGGTTTCTCCAGAAGGCTGAAAGTGCTGAATTCCAGTCACAGAAGCAAGTCGTTAAATGGGACGTGACACTCAAGTGAAACCTGAAGAACACCTCCACCCATGCCAGCAGCTGTCCCTGTCCTCCCTCCCCACCATTTGTCAGCAGGCTGCAAAGCTATCTGACATGCCTCTGGGGCACGCAACTCTACTCTTATCCCCAGTAACTACATACCTGAAAGCTGAAAGTGAGATGCCACAGGGGAGCAGTGGGCAGCTGGCAAGTATGTCCCGTGCTCTTCAAACGTGAAAAAGACTGGAGGAGACAGAAATGGGCACAGTTAGACACTGCTGCTCCTTTGTGGGGATGCTGCCTGTTCTGATGCACCACAGTCCTGGGGAGGTTCCCCCCTTCTGCCAGCTACTAGGAGGGGCACCCCCTGATATAGCAGCTGCAGCCACTGTGCCTCCCAAGATGCCACGTTCCAGCACGCAGGGAAGATGCCAAATCCTTGTGTCACAAGATCTAGCCCCAGAGAGAATTAAAATAGAAACATTGGGGTGGCATGACAGCACTGTGCAGGAAAGGTGGCATCACAACAGCTGAGCAAAGGGAACGGCTCAGACCAGAAAGGCCTAAAATAAGCACGCTCCCCAGACACTGCATGCGGGGCCTGGATCCCCTCACTGTGCAGTGTCCCGTTTAGCAAACCCCACTGCCTCCACGCACTGCTGCCCGCACTTCCACACGTAGCTGGATTTAGGAGAAAAAAAGAAGGACAAACATATACGTTTTCTCCACTTCCTTTTTACTAGAGATGAAAAGGACTTATATACAAGATAAAGGGCTTGATAACTTTACATTTATAAAAACAAAACCGAAACTTACAAGGATGCATATTCTGATTTAGAGGCCTGGACTCCTTTTAGTAGCAAAGCACCTAGCACTGCCCTGGCAGGATGCAGCTCTTTACCAGCAGAGCTTTTCTGACCCTTGGTTCTGGAGGCTGTCCCCATCACATTCTCAGAAATACTTTATTTTGCATTATGATAAAGGTAACTGTCATCAACTTCCCACAGAGGGAAAGGAGGTAAAAGGCCTGCAGAGGCTAAGGGAAGCGAGGGCAGAAAGAGGCATTTTTGTTTACCTCACATTCACTTCCCTGAAGATTTACTTCAACTTATTTAAAAATTACTTATTCTTGTATATTCTCAATATACTTATTTACTTCAATTTATTTAAAAAACAGACAAGCAAACAAACTTTCTACTCAGTCACCGATATCCACTTGGCTGAGGCTGGAAGGTTACAGCAACAGCAAGTTAATACAGCTGAGAGCAGAAACTGCAAAACCTGGGAGGAAGTGGTATTTTTAGCCAGACATTAAGACATTTTGGAGGAGGAGTGAAAGAAGGTAGCAAAAGAGGTGGAAGGAAAGAAAAGTAGACTGGGTTACTGCAAACAGATTAGGGACCTTCGGTGAGGAAGGGTTGGGGGG